TCTGAGCCAACCAATTCCTCCACAACCAGTTCATCCGGTTCGGTAGTAAATTGGTTTCGATGCATGACAGAGGCCTCAGCCTCCGTACTTCAGCCTCTTAGAGAAAATGAAATGTTTGGTTTGTCTTTGAAAACTTCATTTTATCATAGATAATCTGGAACATTATTTAAAATGTCCTCCGCATGCTGCGTTCGGTCAAGTGTTTACAGCTAAGGGATGAAATACGATACTTAGACTGACCGCTCATATTATTCTATTATTTCCTGGGACAGGGAGACATTCTTACCTATAAGTTTCGCGGTAGCATTTTTTTATTACCAAAAACAATGGCGGAACTACTGAAGTGCAATTTTTCTCCAGTGACTCAAGCAACAAGCCACCATTAGCACGAACTTCCAGCTTGCTTCTAAATGTCGGCACCAGTGCAGCATCTAAACGAAACAGCAGATTCTAGTGAAACATCTTGAACAAGGCGTCCAAGCTTCAAGGTGACCACTGCACCATTTCGCTGGCACTGAGATTCATAAAGTGGGCAGTAAGACCATAATTCAAATCAAATTTTCCACTGTGTCAGAGATCAGTTTGTAAAACGTGAAAGAACTGGTAAATTCAGTTCATTCCTGTGTTACGGAAAGCAGTGACGGGTACGGAGCGCATAGGAAAGTAGAACGTCGACATTTTTTTAAAATTTCAACTCATTACTAACGAAAAAAACCCGTAACTTTTACTGATTCAGACAAGAACCACTATTCGAAATTTGTTGCGCGTTTAAAACGTAGGGCTGGCAGAAGAATTTTTTTTTTTTTTCATTTTGCCAGATGTAAATGCAAATGCAACCAATGATCTCACCTAACATCGTTGCCACCATGCGCGAAACCAGCAAAACAAGCGGTCAGCACTTGTAGAAAACTGAACAAACGGGATGCCTGCGGATCTTCCGGCTTTGAAGAACGAAAAAATGTTTCAATTGTTCTGCTTGGCTGTACCGTATTGGAGCCTAAGCCATAATGTCCATCAGCAGTAGCTGTTTGTTGCGGGGCAGCAACTACTCCAACCACCGCATTACTACCACTGCCCAGATCCGTAGATGTTTCGGCTAAAGGCTGTTCGCTGGTCACTCCAAGCTCTAGCGCCAAGTGTTTCCCATTTTCGTAATGCAGCAATGATCTGGTACCTAAAACAGTCCCATGCAATACAACAACTGCATTCAAATTAATACTCAAATAAAGGAGATAAGCCAGAACGTAACAAATAAACAGGATTTTGCGTTAGGTTTGAGCGAACAATGTGAAAAATTTTAGTATCAAAAATTAATCAAAGCTGAAGGAAATCAAAAAAAAGGTTAGAAACTGCAACGAAGGCGATCTTTTGCAATTACCTCTCAATGCCAAAAAACTATAGCTGTAAGCTCTCAACGCTTTTACGCTCTCAACACTTGCATAAAAACGGATTCAGCTCAGAAACGCCTACGTTCTGATGGTTATTTCTATAACAGATGGAAACTGACAAAACAGTTCTAAAATACCCAAAATGTTTGGAAAAAATGTTCTAAACAAAAAATTGCTTGTAAAAATGCACACTATAAAAGATGTACTGTGACAAACGTGGTTCCCGTGAAGAGATAACGTGACGAGCCTTAGAAGACACGCACAATTACGTTTTTGCAATGAGTAGCTGCAAGTGGATTACGCGCAACTTCTCATCAGTTCTCACAGTGTGCGAAAAGCATATAAAGTTCGGATTCGTGGTTTAGCTTTTGTTTAAAGATATAGTAATGGTTCAGAAAAACCGCACAGTTTGAAAGCTTACTTTATGCCATTCATTGTGTCTTTGTGCAGTCACAAGTGATTAAAAAAATTTGAAAATTTAGCTTTTTCTGTCCTGAATTTAAAAGTTCATCCTCAATTTTAACTTAAGCTTAGCGGTTCGAAAAAAGCAAGAAATTTGAAAATTTAGCTAGCCCTTTCTTGCATTTGCAAAGCGGGCCTCATTTCAGAACTGAGATCAATAGTCCGGAAAGAGCACGTTTTGAAACCTGTTTTAAAGTTGTTTGTCCTAAAAAAATTTAATAAATCAATCA